ATCTTTTTGGCTTCTTTGTGCTTAGGAACTGTTTAGTATCTTGAATGTTTTATAGATATTATTGGCACCAGGAGGTAATGTGAGTGCTCATTCAATGAGCAGTATGTAGTGTTGTAGATTTTTAAAAAAGAAACTTAAGAAGCCAGGCTTTTAACCCAACACAGGGGTCCTTTTCCTGATCTTCTAGGAATGTGTCTGGTTACAGAGAGAGGCTTTCCTCACCAAGAGGCCCTTGCAGGTGCGGTCACCATGTGAGGTGACTTTGGTGCCACAAAAGCATGTTTCTGTGTGTGTGTGTGTGTGTGTGTGTGTGTGCACGCGCCCATGTATGTCCCCAAGTATGCATACACATCTGCTTTCATAAAATTCGTTCTCTTTGTAATATCCATTAAATCTTACCAGGAAATGCAAATTTAGCACCTAGATATTGACGGGGAGACTACCACAGGCCCACTGGAAACATGGGCCAATGAATAAAGTATAATGGGGAACTGCAAATACTGAGAACTGAATAGAAAGAAAGATGCAACAAAAAGACACACAGCTCATGCAGCACCTACAAAATAGAATTCGATTGAAAAGAGAAAGACAGAAAATCATAAGCTAAGTATCAAAATTAATCTAGAAAGCAGCAACCAAATAAACCTTCAAAAAGTAAAAGGAAGAAAACAATAAGAGTTAAGAAATGTAACAAAATACACAAAAAAGACCCAGCAGAGAGGATCGACAAAGCTGGATGTTGTTAGTTGGCCCGCCTAATTACATAAACAACCTCTGGAAAGATGGGTCAAAAATAAAGAGAAGAGGCTGGGCATGGTGACTCACACCTATAACCCCAGCACTTTGGGAGGCTGAGGCAGGTGGATCTTGAGGTCAGGAGATCGAGACCATCCTGGCTAACATGGTGAAACCCCATCTCTACTAAAAATACAAAAACTAGCTGGGCATGGTGGTGCGTGCCTGTAGTCCCAGCACTTTGGGAGGCTGAGGCAGAGAATTTCTTGAACCCAGGAGGCAGAGATTGCAGTGAGCCAAGATTGCACCACTGCACTCCAGCCTGGCAACAGAGAGAGACTCTGTCTCAAAAAAATAAAATAAACAGAAGACCCAGATAATCTGTAGTAGAAAATAAAAAAGGCATAATTACAGATACTTCAGAGAGTTCCCAAAATAGTAAGGGAGCATTATGAATAACAACATGCCAAAAATTGCCCATAAACACATATATACAATAACTGCAACAAAACGTGATACCAAAACGAACTCAAGAGTAAACGGAAAACCTGAAAAATCTTATCGCTAATACAATCTGTCAATAGTTAAATTTTCATACAACAGAAATACCTAAATTCTTAAACAGTGAGTATGCTAAACTGCAGAAACTTATCAGTTCAATCGTAAGTATAATTCACAGAGAACAGCAAAAGAGGCCACACTGCCTCTTATATCATGAAGCCAGTCTAAATTTGATTCTAAAACCAGATTAGTAGCTGCGACAGCAAAACTATAAAACAATCTCAGAAACTTAAATGTCAAAATTCTAAGTCAAACATTCACAAATAAAATCCAATCCTATTTAAAAATACATAGTGTGCCATGACCAAACTGTGTTTAATCTGGATATGCCAGGATGTTTTAATATTGGAAGATTTTAAAATGCCATTCACCATGTTAGCAGTGAAGGAGAAAAAGGTTATCGCATTAGATGCAGAAAAAGCATTAGATAAAAGTCAACAACAGTTCAGGACGAAATGTCTTAGTAAAATGGGAACAGTAGAGAACTTTCTTAATCTGCTAAAACTTAACTACCAAAATCATAATGAACCTATACTAAACGGTGAAATATTAGAAGCACTCCCCTTAAAATCAGGAAAAAATAATCTCCACTTCGGTTCAACATTGGATTTTCCTAACCTCTGTAGTAAAAAAATAGACAAAGAAGTAAACGTGTCAGGATCAGAACGAAAGACGTAAACTCTCATTATTGTCGGATGATGTAATCGCAATAAAAAGAGAATCCTCAAAGTATTATTAATAAAAGAACCCAGCAAGATGTCTAGACACACTAACATTTTTAAGCTTGCATTTTTAATCTATATTAAACAGTAAGTCTAATATTTACAAGAGGAATACTCTTTATAATAGCAAGAAAATACGTAAGGTTACTGTGAACAAACATATCAAAACCTGTTCAGATTTATATGGAGAAAAGTCTACAATTTCTTGGAAGTCATTAAAGAAGTCATAACTAAGTGGACTCATAACGTTTGTAAAGAGGAAGACTCAATATTAGACATCAGCATAGTTCTAATAAATATCCTGCCTGGCATAATATTTATGTGGGGCAAGAATAACCAAGATAATTGTGGAAAAAATGTAGTGAGAAAGTTACCTCCTCAAATATAAATGTGTGAGTGAAGCTCATGTAGCTCAGTGCGGGCACAGACAGGTAGAGCAGATTAGAAGGCTAAGAGAGCCAGAAACGGGCCATACACATTCCAGGGAAGGCTCCCAATATTTACCGAATTGTTGAGGTTCAATATGACGAAGATAAGTAATCTAATAGAAAAATGAACAGAAAATAATTTACCAAGGAGGAAACAGATGTGCTTAATAAACGTGAAGTTACTTACCCCCGTTAGTAATCAGAAATGGAAATGGAAATCCCAGTGAAATACTACAGGTTGTTGATAATAGTCTCTTCATACTAAACGCTGGCCGGAATATGGAAGAAGAGGAGCTCTCTCATTGTGGAGACTGATTTCGTACCACTGAGTAGGGCTGTAGATGTTTCCTCTAGCTCAATGTAGCTCACCTTGTGCTATTCCATTGGCAGATATATGGCCGATGGGGGATGCCGCTAGGGGCTCCAGGTGGTATGCACAGAGATGGTCCCGTGTTCACAGCAGTGTAATTTGTCATCAATAAATGGGAAATAATAGAATGAATGGATTGGGATATGCGCATGCACTAAACTCCCATGAGGTCATACAAATGACTGAGCAAGAGCTCTGTGCATGAATGAATGTGAAATTCATAGGTCTATTTTTACATTCACATTTACATAGGTCTATTATAACATTTATGATAATATGTCTTAAGTTTATGTTATGGTATGTTTAGCACTTTGCAAAATAATGTAGATTGCTTAGGGATTTGGAGAGAAAATTTTGTAGAACTTCGTAAGAATAGGAGCCCAACATCAGCCTTTTGACCTCTTGTGTGGGGCAGGGAGAGGAAGTGCGGGAGGGGCAGGGATATGTAACTTTCATTAATACCTAAAATTTAAGTTTATTTCATAAGCAGGGGGTAGTGATTTATTCTTTACATCTTTTTGTATGGCTTTAATAAGTGCAAAATATTTTAAATTAAAAAAATGAGAAGGGAAAGTGGTCTTCGTGAGCAAAGGGCAGAGTTCTACTGATAGCTACAGGTATTCACCCCCTTCTTGGTCCCCTCTCTTTGAGGCTAGGCACAGAGCTTTCTAAAGCAGAGAGATCCAAAGGACCATACCCCCTCCACCCCACCGCAATGAGGGGCTCCTCATAAAATGCCGATGGTGCAAGAAAATTCCCATACACACACAAAATTAGGTGCCATCGATTTTCTTCCACAAGTCAAAGAAAGAATATACACGATTCACCTTATTATCCCTACTGACCTTGTCTGTGTTTAACCTTAAAAAAATAAAGCCTCAATGCTCTTTGACAGGTAAATCCAGCCTCTCTCTCACTTCCTTGGTAAGCCACATCCCAGCATCCTATTTCATGCTCACTGGGTTCTGTCTTTCAGGTACTCTCACATTATATTTCTTTTCAAGCCTAAGCTACTGTCAGATTGACATTTCTTCTCTAGTTTGCCCTTAGGATACTTTATTTGCCGCAAAATTGCTTTACAGTGATGTCACCACCCTACTAATGAAGTGAAGCAATGGCAATTACCATAAAGCACCGGCCCTTCAAAGCCCAGCCCAGTGAGAATTTGGGCCTGAGTTATGTAGAATGACTACCAATGTGAGTGTGCCGTGTGCAGACAGGTGGGAGAGGACCCGTCTGCAGCCCACGGCGTCCTGGCCTTCTTGCTCATTAGCCCTGGGGATTTTCACCCACCCCTCACCCCACACACACACACTGATGCTAGCAGGGCCGGGCACTGTGCTGTCCCTGGAAAGAGAGGAACAAAAGCTAACCTGTGTGGTTTTCCCTCTTGACACCAATTCTCCAACTCTGCAGATACCAGCTGGGTGTCCTAAACTCGCCCCTATTCTGACTGTATCTACCCCGATGTAGCGTCAGACTCCACAGGGTTAAGGGCTCAGTCTCACAAGCCTGAATGTTGGGTCTCCGGGTTACCCACACTTCTGTCCACCGTGGCTACAAAATCGGGGGAGTTCCCATAACCCCTGCGCCAGATTCAATAACTTCCTAGACCAACTCACGGAATTCAAAAGAAGCATCTTACTGAGGTTTACAGGTTATAGAGTACAAGTGAAGAACTGCGCAGGGCAAGGTGTGGGTGGGGTGGTAGGTCACGTGCCTTCCGTGCCCTCTTTGTGTCTGCCACCATCCTGGCATTGTGAACCATTTACCAACCCAGAAGCTCTCGAACCCCGCCACTTAGGAGTTTTTAATGGAGTGTCATTCAGTGGGCATGATTGGTTAAATCACTGGCCCATCTCCAGCCCCTACCCTCCCTGGAGATTGGAAGCCATCGAGGAGACCCCAGCCCTCGGCTGTCTTATTAACATGCGAAACACACTCTTATCACCGAGAGATCTCAAGGGTTTTAGGAGCTGTGTACCAGGAACCAGCAACAAAGACCAAATACTCATATTTTATTCTAAGACTCCCTCCCCAGGTACTTGGAGCAGAGACAGGGAGTGAAGGCAGAGTGGTGTTTACGGCAGGGCCAGAAGCAGGTTCCTGAGCTGAGCCAGGTGGGGAGAGGGTCCAGTCTAGGGTGCCTAATTACCAGCCCTATCATTTGTTCTCTAAAACCAGGGTGAAAAAGAGAGCAGACTTAACAGGAGCCTTTAGACTGGATCCCACTTACCTGAAGCACAGCCATCAGGATTCAGGTAAGCTGTGAGCTTGCTCTCTGTGGACTGTTTCTGGTCTTGTTTCCCTCAGAGCTGCCCTGGAGGTGCCTGGGAGTTAGGGGAAGACTGTCCACATCCAAGGAGGCTCCGGCAGAGGAGCCGGGTGCTCTGTAGATTTGCCCTCGCAGCCCATTCCCTGTGGGTTGATTCAGAGGCCTGGGGTGGCTCCCTGGGGGACGCTTCCACTCTAGAAGCACCGAGAACCTTCCGGGCTCAGTGCAGGAGCAGCAGTAGATGGGCACAGCCAGGGGATATTAAACATGGGCATGCACACCTCCTGCAGACAAGGAAACGTCTTTAATAGAATAATTTTACAAAATTATTTAAATTTACAAAAAGGCTTTGCATCACTTTCCACCAACACCACAAGGAAGCAAAGTAAATGAAGGAGGTTGAGTAGGGTGGGTGAGGGAAGAGAAAATAAGATGAAGCCAAGACTCAGATTGGCACACAAAGGCGTGCCTAGGTCATTCGGTCAGTGGGCCTGGTGCTGGCAATAGCCAAGGAGCCTCAGCACCTGCCTGCAAAGTCTAGCAGGGAGAGGATCAGTGGGTAGTTATCAAAGTGGCATCGGGGGACACAGGCTGCTCCAGAGCCACAGCAGGGAATGCATAATTCTTAGCTTTTGCACTTTTTCTATGCCATCTCATTTAAGGTGGGCCAGTGTATCTGGCCAATTAATGGTAGGCATTGGACTAGAACCAAAATAAGCAAAAATTTTTTTTTGATACCTGAAAATTCTGTCACAATGCTGGTGAGGGGGGAAAGTGGTTACACCAGTCACTTAGGCTTTGAAGATGTGTCCTTTATTTACTAAAGTTGTACATTTGGAAAACAGTGTCAATGCTGAGCCAGAAAATGTCCATAATCCCACCGCTCAAATGCAAATGTTGCTAATATATTGCTGTATTTCTTACCAGTCTTGTTCCATGCATTGTTTTAACTCTGTACCACTTAGCAATTACCAATTTACAAGCTTCCCTTCCCACATGTATCTCATGAAGTTTTATGTCTTACGAGGCACCCAAGACCTATTAAGTAGTCCACAGTTCAGGTAAAATCATTGTCAGAGGAAATTGCTGGCTGAGAGGTTTGGCATTTTTTATGTTAACAGTAAAGAATTGTGCAAAGAAGCTTCTAAATTGGGCCGGTTCTTCATTCGTCCATGAGGAAGCAGATTCATGGAAAAGCAGATAGGAACTTGAACTAATTAGACACTGTATCTGAATTCTTCTACTGAGAGCCTCCGGTTTCTCTGTCCTGTAGAAGTTTCTGCAGTGAGGGAAATCTTCTATAATTCTGCACCACCCAATATGACAGCCACCAGTCCACATGTGGCTACTGAGCGCTTGAAATGTGGCTCGTCTGTTGCAGAACTGAAGTTTAATTTTCTTTAGTTTTAATTTACTTACATTTAAATGTCAACAGCCACATGTGGCTAGTAGCTACCATATCAGATGATACAGTAATAGAAATTAAAAGGTATTGCATTCCCTCATATTCATTCATGACAATCATCTGATTGTTTAACATTTTTTTTTTTTCTTTTTGGAGACAGGGTCTTGCTCTGTTGCGCAAGCTGGAGTACAGTGGTACAACCTTGGCTCACTGAGCCAGGCTCAAGTGATCCTCCCACCTCAGCCTCTCGAGTACCTAGGACCACAGACATGAACCACAACACCCAGATAATTTTTTGTATTTTTTTTGGAAGTGACGGGGTTTCACTATATTGCCCAGGCTGGTCTTGAACTCCTGAGCTTGAGCAATTTGCATGTCTTGGCCTCCCAAAGTGCTGGGTTTCCGTGGCTGTCACACGTCTCCTCCCCCATTCTCATGATCAGCACGCACTGGTGGGTACCTTCTAACTGGGTCCTAATTGACAAATCACTGGGGTCCTGCCCGGTGCAGACAGCTCTGCTGAGCCCCCCAGTCGAGGTCTCAGGTTAGGAGAGTGTGAGTCCACTGCACCCGGCCTCGACAGTTTCTTACTGAGAGCCGCCTGCATGCACTCTGTTGGGTGCTGTTGTTTCATTTGCATTGGTCTCTGTGAATCATTGTAGAACGCTGCTACGGATGTTATGTTTGTATAGCAAGCTCCCTTACTAATGAGAGGCTGCGTGGCGAAAAGGAGAGTACTGGTTATGGGTCGAGATAGGCTGTGTGGCTTTGGGCTTTCTGTCTCAGGGTCACTCATAAAATAGGGGGTGGAGGTCCTGCATCTCCTCCCAGCACTGCCACTTTTTATGCTAATGGAGAAAATACCTATTTTCTCCTGGCAGCCAGATGGCAGTCAGGGAATGACACCAAGTGGTGACTTCAGGTGTTCTTGTAAATACAACGTAGACACTCCTGTGCAGTGGATGAAGTGCAGGGTGGGGCATGGGTTGTATTAGGTGAACAGCTTGTCCCAGCTGAGCATGGCCAGGGCCTGCCCCTGTTGACGGGGGAAGTAGGGGGCACCAAAGTGCCTGGTCCAGCCCACATTCGTGGATCTTCTCCCAGAGCACGAGACTCCCTTCTCCACAGATCTGTGCAGCAGGATTGCGGCATGTTGTCAGAATCCTCACCTGAGGGCGGGGCGCGGTGGCTCACGCCTATAATCCCAGCACTTTAGGAGGCCGAGACGGGTGGATCACGAGGTCAAGAGATCGAGACCATCCTGGTCAACATGGTGAAACCCCGTCTCTACTAAAAAAATACAAAAGTTAGCTGGGCATGGTGGTGCACACCTGTAGTCCCAGCTACTCGGGAGGCTGAGGCAGGAGAATTGCTTGAACCCAGGAGACGAAGGTTGCGGTGAGCCAAGATCACGCCATTGCACTCCAGCGAAACTCCATCTAAAAAAAAAAAAAAAAAAAAAAAAAAAAAAAAATCCTCACCAGACGCCTTGTGCAGGATCACTTGCATTAATGGAAACTCCCATCTATGAGCCCACATCCAGGGTTCTATAGGCATAAGGGGAGGCTCAAAGGCAAATCAACCATTTTTCATAACCAATGTGGAGCCAACGAATCCTGGATGTTAAAACTGACTCAACAGATACTCACTGAGTATCTGCTCTGTCCCAGATACTGAACTAAGATCTGCTAAGATCCATGGATACAGAGATGAATACTCCCACCAAGAGTTTCATTCTCTTCTTTTGAAAATATTCTAATCACTCCGTATATCACGCATTCACTTTCCCATGCATGAATAAATGAGTGATGGACAATTTACACTGATCTGAATGTTAACTCTCTACTGGGCTCTAGATGAAACCTCAGATGTTCAAGCTATGTAACCGCAGAAAGCAAAACTAATGGGGGTCTATTAAGAGTGTAACATGTCCGATTTGTGTTTTGGGCATCCTGTTCTGGGGGGACTCCCCTTGAATATGTTATCCTGGGAAGTGCCCAAAGAACACCCAGATCCAGCCTTTAGGCAGTTTTATTTCTGGCTTAGAAGACATGAGAAATTTACGTGGAAGATGAAAAGGATTAGCGTGTGATCAACAAATCTGTCTAACCGTTTCTTTTTTCTTTTTCTTTCTCTTTTCTCCAGGATTTATCACTGACTACCGGGTAAGTGAGAGATTCCTCTGTAATCTCAAATGCCAATGGAGTCCTTGGGGCCTCTGCGGCTGTCACACATCTCCTCCCCCACTCTCATGATCAGCACTGGTGGGCACCTTCTAACTGAGTCCTAACTGACAGATTAGTGGGGTCCTGCCGGGTGGTGGGCAGCTCTGCTGAGCCCCCCAGTCAGAGGTCTCAGGTGAGGAAGGCAAAACCTGGACTTCGCTCCTGGGGATGGAGAAGGAGACTCTGTCCCCATTCCTCTGGAAGGAAAGGTTCCCCACTGCCCTGGACTGCTGTGTGCCTGGGGCTGCACAGGTGGGGGCGGTGGGACAGTGCAGAGTCAGGAAACGTCAAACGCTCCCAGGTGGGGCCAGTACCTCGGCAGCCTGGTCTCAAATGCATTGGTCCTCTCTCCTTTTTATTTGCCACAAATGTTGAATGAGGCATACTTTTAAAATGCCACATTGTCCTAGTGTTAGTCTGGAAAGGAATTTGTAACCACAGGCAGTGATGCAAGGATTATCCAAAAAATAGAACCCAAGGGGTAGGGTGAAATTCAGTGGGGAGAGAGGTGTGGCCACAGAGCTGGCTGTCTTCTGCCATCAAGAGAGGATCTGTGGCCGGGCATGGTGGCTCATGTCTGTAATCCCAGCACTTTGGGAGGCCGAGGTGGGTGGATCACCTGAGGTCAGGAGTTCGAGACCAGCCTGGCCAATGTGATGAAATCCCATCTGTGCTAAAAATACAAAAACTAGCTGGGTGTAGTGGTAGGCACCTGTAATTCCAGCTACTTGGGTGGCTGAGGCTGGAGAATTGATGGAACCCGGGAGGCGAAGGTTGCAGTGAGCCAAGATCCCACCACTGCACTCCAGACTGAGTGACGGAGTGATACTCCATTTCAAAGAAAAAAAGATGACCTGTGTCCCGTTCTTTCTGGTCAGATGTGGTGGGCACCAGACATCATCAAAGCAGGGGCTGCCATTGCCCAATAGAGGTGTGTTTGTGTGTAAGTGCTACTGTCAGCAGCCGGCGTGATAATGACCCAGCAGGCGCTACCCCTCAAAAGGCATGTGTAGCTTTCCTTCTTCCTGTGACAGCTGTGAGCCAGGAGGTGGGGGGCACCAGTAAATCTTCCTAAGCCATCAAGGCTGGTTGAAGGACAATTTTGGTAAAGCTCGCTTGGGACCACCCAGCTCCACACCTAGGGAGAAAGGCCAGGGTGCGTGCACATAAGCATAAGGGCACAGTGGCAAGACCCATGGATGATGCATGTTTAAAACTTTTATATCAATCACCACTGACAATCTGACTTATCTTTTAGAAAGTTATTATTATTATTACTATTATTTTTGAGACAGAGTCTCACACTGTTGCCCAGGCTGGAGTGCAGTGGCACAGTCTTGGCTCACTGCAATCTCTGCCTCCTGGATTCAAGCAATTCTGCTGCCTCAGCCTCCCGAGGAGCTGGGCCTACCCTGGGTACCCACCACACCCAGCTAATTTATTTGTATTTTTAGTAGAGACGTGGTTTCACATTGTTGGCCAGGATGATCTCAACCTCCTGATCTCATGATCCACCTGCCTCGGCCTCCCAAAGTGTTGGGATTATAGGCGTGAGCCACCGCGCCCAGCCTGGAAAGTTATTATTGAAGGGAAAACATGACAATAATACTAAAAACAGCTAGAGGACCGGCTCAGCCTGACCTTGCATCCTCATGCCGCCGCGGCCTGTGTGTCCTCCTCCTCCTCCCTTTGTTCGTGGCCTTTCTCAGACTTCCTGTCGCATGAGGGCCACGTGCTGCACAGACCACACTGCAGCTGGTTCTCATGGCGCTGAAACTAAAGTTGCGATGCCTTCTCCACTCCTCCACAGCCTTAGTAAGTACAGAAAGGCCATGTAGAACCCCGTGGTATGTGGTATGATTAGTTCCCTGTTACTTCACTACTTTGCTGGGAAAGTTCCTTGCTTCCCTGAATGACTGTGCAGTGGGCATCTGGCACATCCAGCTTTCTGCTGCTGGCGAGCTGTTTCCCACTGCATGACACTGAACATGGGCTGATGGGCACAGGCATGAACACTTCATGTCTTTTATTATTATTTAATGTCGTGCCTTCCCAGCTTAGATATCATTAGAAAAAAAAGGCCTGACACTATGTCACATGACACATAAAATAACAAGCTTTGCTGAAAATGCCATATTCATGGGCGGGCACGGTGGCTCATGCCTGTAATTTCAGCACTTTGGGAGGCCGAGGTGGGTGGATCACAAGGTCAGGAGTTTAAGACCTGCCTGGCCAACAAGGTGAAACCCTGTCTCTACTAAAAAAAAAATACATAAATTAGTTGGATATGGTGGTGTGCGCCTGTAATCCCAGCTACACGGGAGGCTGAGGTGAAAGAATTACTTGAACTCAGGAGGTGGAGGTTGCAGTGAGCTGAGATGGTGCCACTGCACTCTATCCTGGGTGACAGAGCAAGACTCTGTCTCAGACAAACAAACAAACAAAACTCCATATCGACTAACAAGTCTTCAAGGAATCAAAGTCCTTTTTAATACATTTGGCACTGTCTTTCAAAGGCCTGGGGCACCAACCCCAGAAATGCTGGTTTATGTTACGTTGCCCAAGACAAGAACCATCTCAGCTCTGCCCGCATCTAGCAGCTCAGGGTACAGGAGCTCCTCAGACGGTCTCTACCGTTCATCAAGAATCACAGATCTGTACTGGCACCCGCCTGCAGAACCACGGAGGCGGCAGGGCTCCCCGGGGCTTTCCCAGTCTGTTTTTCTGCACCAACCTTCTGGTCCTCAGGGCTGACTGCTTCTCCCCAACCCTACGCTCTTCATCCTACTCCCTCCGCCGCCAGTCCCTGCCTCTCATGGGGTGAGGAAAGAGTCTGATCTTGTCCTTCTGTCCTTAATGCTGAGCCTTATTCTCCTGGGCACCTCAAGCCACACTCCCTTTCCCCACTGCGAATCCAGAAGACTTGAGCCCACCATTCGCCTCGCCTTGATGGCGTTCATTGGAAGGCATTTGTCCTGTTACTTCAACTAGTTATCTCTACTAGCTTAATGAAAGGTGTTGGCCTCAGTTAAGGAAAGGTCAAGGCTCAGCAACCTGTGCCCCAGCCCTACTTTCAAAGCACCCTTTGAGTGGCCCCTGTACCCCCCATCCTGTTGGGTCTGCTGTGACACCTGGGTCTCTTTCACCCCATCTCAAGGCAGCCCCTTCACTGGCACTCCCCTTCCAACCAGGAGCGACGAGCTGCTCCTGCAGCTACTCAGAGATGAGTGAGGCCCAAAGCCGCCTCCAGGACTCCCAGCCACTGAGGGAGACAGAGGCGCAGACCACGCAGGCCCTGATGTCTCTTCTGAAACATACCTGAGACACCTCGATCTTCCAGGCTGCCCGTTTGTGACCCAAGAGGACTTATCCCAAGTCCTTAGCTAGTCCTCTGCCCGCCAGATTTCCTCTTGCTGGTTTTTTTTTTTTTTTTTTTTTGAGCTCACAGCCTGGAGCCCACTGCAGGGGGAGCCGGCGTTTAATTCTCGGGGCTACGGGCAGAGCAGGGCAGGCGGTGATGCTGAGGTCCCTGGCACCATGGCTGGCAGCGCCTGAGTCAGGAGCGGTGTGGGGACAGCTCTTGTTTGGCTGCCTGTTGCTTCTAAAGGAACCCAGGCAGGTGGGAAGCACCACGGCAGCCTGGCCTCACTGGCATCCAGCAGGCTTGGGGGGCCCTTTGGGGCAATTGGCCTTCTGTGCTACTGTGTTCCCTGGAGAGAGACAGAGTTGGTGCATCATGTGTTCACAGCCAATATTTCATGGCTGATGAGGAGACAAAGGAATGAACCTTATGAAAGATAGACTGCAGAGGGTGGAAGCTGTTCTGGAGCAGAGGGGCTTCTAATACGCGCCAGCCCCAGGAAGCAGGAATGGCCATGTGGGGACAGTCCCAGGCAGCCACTGAGAAAGCACACACAAGTTGGCCGGGTATGAGTATGGGAGCAGCCTCAGAGACCCTGGCATGCAGAGCCCAAGGGGCACCTCTCACCCCAGCTCTGCTCTTTCTATCCCTGGGTGCAGGCACAAGCGTCACTGTCTCTCACTGGACCCTGTCCATCTGCCACCACCCAGGGAGGTCCCTGGCCATATTTCCCAGCATCTTCTCTGTGTTGCTATTTTAGCTACAGTAGAGTGACCTCTTTCCCGCTCTGCGCACGTGCACCTCTCGGACTCTATGATTTCCGCCTGTAATGTGAATTTCAGGCAAACGTCCCCAGAGCATTTGCTTTGCTGGACTCAGCAGGGAATGGGAAGAAATATCATAGACATTCTCATGTTGTTCAAAGAGGTTGGAAACCCAAACCTAAGGCTGTCAGAGTCATCAGGCTAAAGGAGAGGAGCCCTTGACAGGGGGCTCCCTACCAGGCCACTGGGGGTGTGTGGGGTGGGGGGAAAAGGATGAGCAGGGGCTGGTAGTTCTGTCCTCCGTCAGCGGATGAGGGCACAGGATTGGAGTGTTAGTACCGAGAGAAGGCTGTTCAGGACACCAGGTGCGGCAAGGGCGCTCTGTTCTTTCTGATGCTGAATGGAATGCTGAAGATGTAAGATAGCACCATTTGCCTGCAGTGTGCAAAGTCCTGGGCAAAGCAGGCATCATTATGCCTATTTCATAGGGGAGGAGACAGAGGTTCAGAAAAGTTAAAAAGTTTGCTGAACCTATTGAAAGATAGGACCACGGAGCTGGGTCACAGGCCACTGAGCCACGCAGTCCTGCACGCTATTTGGATGAGTAAACTGCATCTTCTGGAAGATGTTGATGGCTTATCAAAAGTGAGACAAAATATACTTTTAAAAATGATCAACTGTGGAGGAAAAAGTACCAGGAAATAGCTCATTTGATGCCCCAGAAGCGTCAAATACGAATTGTCTTCTATGTGCAGAATCCTTTTAGCTGGATGCATGAGTGAGGGTCAGATGGGTTTTTCTCCAGATTTGTTTAAGTATGTCCATCAGCAATCTTTCACAGAATGTGGGCTGGCCGCTCTGAGCCCCGCCAGGTGCTGGGCTTGCGGCTGGGAGTAAAATGACAAATGAGACAGTGCTCCTTTCCTCTGGGAACTCGGTCTGGCAGGAGGTGAGGCTGGGTCCACGGGGGCCACAGCCCACATGGCTCATAGTCCTCCCATCTACTGCAGGTGCCCAGGAGCATAGTGGGGGAGGGGACAGTGCCTCCGGAGAGATCATGACAACATTTTGAGCCACATTAGAGTGAGCATTCAATTAGATGGTGTGTATTTTCACTCCAGGACCACAGAAATTAAGTTTACCTTGGTATTTTTCCAAATGTTAGACGAAACCACATTTTAATTTGCAAGAGGATGACTGGCAGAGGAGTGACTTTGGAGTGCAGCACCCATGCTAAACCATGACAAGGAAGGTAGATAGGTAGATCTATCTACCTATCTACCTATCTTGTCTGATAGGTAGATAGTCAGCCAGTTAGTGGCGTGGTAAGGGATTCTTCTTTTAGATTTCCCAAAAAGACAAGTTAGCTTAGCTCTTGAGCATCCCAACAGCTTGAGAACTCAGTGCTGATGAGCAGACAACTGGGTGTGCAGGTTTGGCTCAGGCTCTGCCGCATGCTGGCTCAGTGACGTTGGACAAGTCACTCTCCACACCTGCTTCCGCTCCAGGAAAGTGGGCATCCAGAACCCCTGTTTACAGTGCTGCTAGAAAGCTCAGTGGAGATGATATGTCAACACACCTGGCAGGGCCTGGCATGCAACGGGGAGGGACCATGCTGAATGCCTGAGTCTGAGGTCGAGTCCCTTTTGACCTGAGAAGCTCCTGCAGAACCCTGGCTCTGGGCCCTTTAGCTGCTTCTCTTGTGTCCAAAATTAGCTGCTGTCCGTTCATTCCACCCACACTTTGTTTTATGTATTTATTTAGAGATGGAGTCTCACTCTATTGCCCAGGCTGGAGTGCAATGGTGCAATCTTGGCTCACTGCAACCTCTGTCTTCTGAGTTCAAGTGATTGTCCTGCCTCAGCTGCCAAAGTAGCTGGGATTATAGGCACGCACCACCACACCAACCTGATTTTTATATTTTTAGTAGAGACGGGGTTTCACTATGTTGGTCAGGCTGATCTCGAACTCCTGACCTCAGGTAATCCACCTGCCTCGGCCTCCCAAAGTGCTGGGGTTGCAGGAGTAAGCCACCGCACCTGGCCTCCATCCACACTTTAAAAACCGCCTGTGAGCCCTCCTACTGAGAGCAGTGCAGGATTCAGGACTCCAGCTGAGCAACCCCGCCCGCAGATGGCCCGGCTGCGCCTGGGTGTTGCGCCTGGCTGCACTGTGTCACCCAGGCCCAGCGGGGAGCTGGCTCAGCTCTCCTCAGCGTCCGCTTTGTAGCTCAAATAGAATATGACTGTTAAAATGACCACACAGTGCTGCTATGCTCACTTCCCAGCAGCCCCCTCGTCCGGGTCCTCTCCTGCTCACCTCGCCACATCTCCGTCCCTCCGAGTGTGTGGGGGCCAGTCAGCTGACGAGGTCTCGGGGAAAGAGGGGAAGGAGTAGGAAAGCTTCTGGAGCACCAGTACGCAGACACACGTTGTGTTTTCTGATGAGGGGTCTGGGGGCACTCCATGGTGATCAGTGGGACCAAAAGGGGACCAGTATTGCTCTAGAAAACGGTACCAGAACAACCAGGGCCGAAACGGCAGATGATAAGTGGGTTCTGGGTCCCTCCTTCCTCGTAGGCAAGAGATCAATGAAAATCACTCCCCTGGCCCCACTGGATGGTGTGCTCGCAGGGGGCAGGGCCATGTTTCCTAACCTGTTTGTTCACCATGGAACCCCAGAGCTTAGCCCAGGGTCTGGCCCTGCTGTGATGTCCACAAACATCTTTTGAGTGAAAACAGTGAACACCGCGGGCTCCCATGTCAGCAGTCCCTGTCGGTGCTCCTCTCTCTCGGAGAGTTGCAAAGAAAGCCCCTGCCCACACCACCATGGGCCTTGCTATCCAAGACCAGCCATGGTAGAGGGAGCAGAGTGGCCACCAGGGAATCGGCTACCTCCAAGAGAAATGGGTGAGCCAGTGAGCCGAAAAGGAAGCTGGCTTTTAGTATCTTCCTCACTGATGCTCCGTTTCGTCTTTCATTTCAGCACTGGCAGATACCCCTGGGCCGAAGATTTCGCTCTTTGAAAATGTGGTTCGTATTTAGGATGTATGGGGTCAAAGGACTGCAGGCTTATATCCGCAAGGTGACTTTGTTTTTATTATTTATCTGGGTAAAACTGCAGAGGTCTTTTGGGACTTTAGAAATAAACTAAAAAAAAATTTTTTTTTTTTTGAGATGGAGTTTTGCTCTTGTTGCCCAGGCTGGAGTGCAATGGCTCCATCTCAGCTCACTGCAACCTCTGCCTCCCAGGTTCAAGCAATCCTCCTGCCTCAGTCTCCTGAGTAGCTGGGATTACAGGCACACACCACCATGCCCAGCTAATTTTTGTATTTTAAGTTGAGATGGGGTTTCACCATGTTGGTCAGGCTGGTCTCGAACTTCCTGACCTCAGGTGATCCACCTGCCTCGGCCTCCCAAAGTGCTGGTTATACAGACCTGAGACGCTGTGCCTGGCCTTCAAACGTCTTAATAAGCAGACACACGGCAAGGGAACCAGACTGTAGTTTGGGTTGTCGAGGTTATTTATAAGATCTATTAAGTCACTTTTGTTGAGATTGCAGGGTATCAGGTCCAGGAAGATGGTCAAAGTAGAAACACCACATAGGTTGTGTTTAGCTACATCTAGCCAAGAATGAAGTTCATTGAACAATGGCAATCATGAGAACATAATGAATGTGTTTCTGTTCCCCCAAATTGCCAGAATAAGATAGATATTCCCTAGGCCAGTGGTTCTCAGATATGCTTCAGAGCAGCAGTGCTGGCCTGCGGAGGGGCCCAGTGACTTCTGTTTTAACAAGTAAACCAGACACCTTCGCTATGCACTAAAATTTGAGAAGCCTTCATCAGCTCCAAGCCCGTCTCCCCTGCATTTAAAAAAAAACAACAATTGAGGAAACTGAGGCCTGAATATGAGGCAGAAACTGGCCAAAGCCACCCGTTTAGCCAGCTGCAGAAGGCCAGCTGCTGTTCTGCTGGCTCCCTCCCATCCTGTTGTCCTTCCTAAGCTGTGGCCTCATCTTGATGGACAGACGTCCCCAGGCTTCATGGGAACAAGCGCACCTGCGATATTCAGCCTTAGTGCTGGTGACAGTCCTTCATTTTAAGTCCTGTTGCCGCTTCACAACCAGCTGCACAGGGGCAGGCGTCCCCAGCAGCCTCCTCTGTGGCACAGCATATAAAAAGGCGCATCCATTTGCAAGCTTTAGTGGAATGCCTAGGACATGCCACGAACTGTCTACCTCCCAAAGCTTTGGTGAGGACAGTTTCAGGAGCTGCCGAGCACTATGAGGACCTGTTTAGGGGTGAGGACTGGGAAAGGAGTAGGTATATGAATTCATGAGTAGGAAAGACCCCTCTCCCCATTTGAGATGAATTCAGCTTTTGGTAGGAAAGCAGGCCAACAAATGAGGGGTTTATCTCCCCACAATAACAACATCTTTAAGCTCAGGACAACTAGTTGTGATCATGCTGTCTTCTGTTTAAAACACACCCCACTTCTTTCGGAAGGGGGACCCAAGCCTGCCTTAGGAGCAGAGTCCAGCAGTGCTCAAAGCCTGTCTCCGTGGGCGGGAACCGACTTTGGGATCGCCCATGAGGCCTAGGTCTTTGGTGCCCTCTGGTGGCATGATGAGGAACCGCTCGTATGACAGGTGTTTTGGTCCCAGCCACCCGGGCCGGCGATGGCGCAGCTTCCTCCCCAGCACCTGCAGCGTGGGGGCCATGCTGGATGCAGGGGCTTAGAATGAGCAAGGTACGGGCCTACGCCACAGAGGGCTCCTTCTCCTAGGGTCACATGCTATCTGAATAGCTTCTGAGTTCCATAACTATCTGGAAGTGAAATAAGGTTGGTGTATTCAATGACCATTTCTGAATGTGACAGAGCCATTTCTGAATGTGACAGAGCGGACAGGATGCCCAGTTCTGGGTGGCAGATGCCAAGGAAGAGCAAGAGCCATGGCAGCCATCAGGCTGCCTTAGAATCCCAGCTCAGCCAAGGTCTCCAGGTGCACCTTGGGCATGCGGCTTGCCCTCTCCCAGCCTGTTTTCTTATCTGCAAAATGGGGATACTCAGCATATCCTCTGTATTTTTGGCCGTCCTGAGGATGTTGCAGAGGTGGGCACTGGCACCACAAGCACAGAGGAGCAACGCAATGGGTGTTAGCCATTGTCTCTTCCAGAATGTTCCAATACCCCCTCACGGTATTTAGTTTGACATGATAAAAGATGGTCTGGGTGGAATAAGAATAGTCTCATGAACAGAAGAAAATGATGGTCGATGTTCCCCTGAAGACACTGGACCTTTGCTCATGGTAGGGAATGAGTTTCTCAGCCTTCCTGGGAACAGCTGATCAGTGGACAGCACAAGCATTTGAGAATTGCCAAGAGAGTCTAAATGAATTACAGATGTGCAGTCTAATAAGGTTTCCTAGGTGGTTACATTCTGAATTAAGTGGCCATGAGAAAAACAGATTTTCCTTTTCCTCTTTCAAGCACGTCCAGCTGTCCCATGAGTTTGAGTCACTGGTGCGCCAGGATCCCCGCTTTGAAATCTGTGCGGAAGTCACTCTGGGGCTTGTCTGCTTTCGGCTCAAGGTTTGTCTACATCTAGTCCATTCTTTTTCATTTTCTGTGAATGTGACAGAGGGGAAAGTGTCATTCATTACCTCCATGCTAAAAAACCGGCACTGACTCTCCAGAGATGGCAGAGCAACGCCTACATTTTCAGCCCACCGCACGGCTCTGCTTCCACGTATGGCGGCTGTTCCTGCTTCCTCAAGCCTGCCCTGAGACTTCTCACGTACACAGCTCACTGGCCCTATCATCCTTACCATTTTTCCATCCCCCAAGGCTCCATCTCACACCTCTGCCACTGGCCCTCCCTGGAGGACAGTGGCCGGTCCATAGCCTCACTCATCTGAAAGTCCTCTGTGGATCAACAGCATCAGTGTCTTCAGCCTTGCCTGGGAACTCCTTAGAAAAGCCAGTCTTGAGCCCCTCCCCAGAGCTGCTGGCTCTGCACCTCGACAAGATGCCCACACAGGAGTCTGTTTCACACTGTGCTGTGGTGTGCCGTTATTTTGTCGCCTGATGCTGTGTGTTCACCAGGTGAGGTCAGGCTGGCCTGCGGGGGTTGGGGCATAAGCCATCTCTGCTGAGAGTCATGACACAGTTCTCAAAAAGGCTGTAAGATGCTCTGCACACATGCCCCTTGGTAATCTCCCTTGTGTACGTGAAGCCAGGTGAGACCTAATGCTCTGTATGGTTTTTGAAGGCGCGTTTAATTCACAATCATTTCAAGCCTCTGCAGGAGGCTTCCTTGTTCAAATTAAAGAACAGCACTCAGCAGAAGGAGCAGGCTGGGCTCAGTGTCATTGTCAAGGGGCTGCCCATCAGTGTGTGGCACTGCCACTCCACCTACCATGTCCAGTTGCCTCACCTCACTCTTGGAGCTCTGAGGCAGGGAGGAGCTGAGGCCGTGGGAAAGCCTGCAGGCAGCAGAGCTGGAGTGGAGACTTGAGCTCTTGAAAGAGCACAAAGTGATGAGACCTGGGGGTGCCCAGAGGACTGGAGGGCGAGACACGCTCTGGGTGTCTGTGCGAGAAGCCTCGGTCCATCTGTGTCTAGGATGTGGCCAGTCTACCAACCTTGGTGTTGACACTGTGCTTATTAGACTCATCTGCCGTCAAGTAGCTGTTTTCATTCTTGTTTTCGCTGACAGTTTTCTTGTAGCACTTTTTAAAAATAAACTTTTAATGGTTCTATTGAGATATAATTCACTTTGTTCACTTAAAGTCTACAGTTGGGCTGGGCGTGGTGGTTCTCGCCTATAATTTCACCACTTTGGGAGGCTGAGGAGGGCGGATCACTTGAGGTCAGGAGTTTGAGAAGAGCCTGACCAACATGATGAAACCTCGTCTCTTTCTCTCTTTTTTTTAAACACTGACCACTCCCCCGCTATTTATTTATTTATCTTAAATTTATTTTTAAATTTTTTTACTCATCTCTACTACAAATACAAAAATTAGTCAGGAGTGGTGGCACATACCTGTAATCCCAGCTCCTCAGGAGGCTGAGGCAGGAGAATCACTTGAATCTCAGAGGTGGAGGCTGCAGTGAGCTGAGATTGCCCATTGCACTCCAGTCTGGGTGACAGAGCAAGACTCTGTTGCAAAAAAAGAAAGTCTACATTTGAGTGTTTTTAGTGTTATCTACAGAGTTGCACAGCCATCATCACAATCTAATTCTAGAAAATTTTCATCCCCCAAAAAGAAACCCCACAACCAGTTGTTGAGAAACATTAAGTTTCCTCTGCCTCCATGGCTCCCCTGTGGAGGATACCTTTTAGTTTGTAATTAGATGTTGGCAGGTAACAGCTGCCTACCTGGTATATTCCTGAGTTATGTGTCTATGTAGAACATATGTGTATTAATTAGACTCACCAGTCAAAGAGCAAATAGATAGGTGGATGAATCTCGGCTTGGGGCCTCCAATCTGGAGAGCTGTCAGCCCCGCCGGCTCTCAGGCTGTTGGTCCCCAGAATAGATCCACTCTGCTGAGCTATCTGGGTGTCTGTCTCTCAGTGCCTTCAGCTGCCTGGGTGGGAGTCTCCTGACGGAGCTGGTTCTCCGTACGCAGTCACTCCACATTCCCTGTCCTTAGGGCCACTAATCTGTTTTCTGTCTCTGCAGGGTTGTCTACTCTAGACATCTGTATGAATGAAATCATACAACATATTGCCTTTTAGGACTGTCTTCTTTTACTTAGCATAATGTTGTCAAGGTTATGGCTTTTATTTTATTTGCATAATTTACGGATGCCACCAAACCCATCTGTGTATGGTTTCCATCCATTCTTCTCGCATGCCGTGTAGTGAGCCCTCTCGTGCAAGAAGCCCAGGCATCGTTCAGCTGACAAATGTTTCCTTTTGTAAAACTTCGCTTGTGCCTCCAGTCTAGAAATCCACTTTCTGGAGGAAGCACATTAGTCAAACAAATGTGGCTCACTTTTCTGCCTCCACGTCTGCCATCTTGGCCTTACTCTCTCCTTGTCTAATCTTCTCCAATCTGAATTTCAGGTCCTCTCATGCTGAATGCTTCAAATACAAAAATTAGGAGTGGTGGCACACGCCTGTAATCCCAGCCCCTAGGGACGCTGAGAAAGGAGAATCACTTGAACCTGGGAGGTGGAGGTTGCAGTGAGCTGAGACCATGCCAGTGCTCTTGTTTTGCCACAGCGAAAACGAGAATGAAGACAACTGCTTGGCTGTTTTCACATCTTGTGTGCCATGTGGCTCTTTATTAAACCAGACGTGGCATTGTATGGCGTCATGGTCTTTCTCCCTGCATCCCCGTCTCCGCCAGTCCTTCCTCGGCCTCCATCTGTGCCTGCTCGGCCTACTTTGCTCCTTGTCATTGTCCCACCTCTGCTAGGCTTCCTGCCTCTCCTTCATGGAAGTGCTGCCCTGTCCCATCTGTTTGGAAATGGCAAGCACATTTTCCTTAAATAATTCGCTTCCATTTTCTGCACTCCATACATTTCAGATGTTTGCTCTCATGCTGAGTCTTTTTGGTAAAATTCCATTCCCTTGGTACCATAGTTTCTTTTCTTATCTGGCCTCATCCTTGAACCCTGATCCAGATTTGCCCAGACCATGTGTTCACCCACGGTTTCCAAATTTCCTCTGGCCCATCACGGTCTACCTGGGTACAACTGGAGCAGGGCGCTCAGGCCCACAGCTAGAGGCCAGGGGATTTGTGCAGGTCTATGGTCAGGCACCAGCATCCAGCAGGTGCTCGTCTGAGGTGGTTCCATGCGGTGGACAGAACTCTCCACTTCCCACTCATCGTCCCTGCTTCCCCACTCTGAAGACAGGGCCACACAGTACAGTCCTGCAAAGTTCGGGCGACTAGCATGCACTGTCCCACATTCAGCTCCTTCTACTTAAGACTCCATGGCTTAGAAGATGTGGAGTCTTCTCACTGCCTACAAATGGAAGAAGGAGAGAGGAGCAAAGGGGCATGGAGGTGAAGGCTCAGGAGAATGGCTGCTATGGAAGCAGGACCCAGGCGGGACAGCAAGGGCTTCCCATTGGCTGATTGACACCAGGCTTCCATCTCTGGTGTAGTGGGAGGGGTGGGGCCTCTGCCCTACCCCAGGTTGGCGGGCTGTGCTCATCTGGAGAGTCACCAATGGTCCCTGGGTCCTGTAATTCGTGGATATTCTTCTCAGATTCTAGCACTAGCTTGACTATTATGCTTTGTTTTCTAGGTTGTTGAGACTCTTCTATGTTTCTGTGAGACTTTAGAGGCTCCTCCCCTGGTGCCATCAGAAATCCCAGTTCTGCTGATTAAGCTTGTATATTTATAGATGTCATATCTAGGGATCTTTACTTTCCTTAAAACAAACTTGGACCACGGAAAGGTCATCTTTTGATGGCATATTAGAATATGGAGAAATTGTATTGTGGGGAGAAGATGGATGCAGTCTTTTAGGGCGTGTTGCTATTATTTTGTTGAATTTTGTAACATCATAAATGCAGGGGGAATGGTTAGTCAGCTTCTCCGTGACGTATGGCAGGGTGGCCAAGCACTGGCCTTCCTACATGACTGGTTGATTTTTGAGTCCTCAGAGACCTGAGCACAGTTCCTCTCTTTCAATCCCTCCAGGGTTCCAACAAAGTGAATGAAGCTCTTCTGCAAAGAATAAACAGTGCCAAAAAAATCCACTTGGTTCCATGTCACCTCAGGGACAAGTTTGTCCTGCGCTTTGCCATCTGCTCTCGCACCGTGGAATCTGCCCACGTGCAGGTGGCCTGGGAGCACATCAAAGAGATGGCGGCGAACGTGCTGCAAGCAGAGAGGAAGTAGAAGCGAAGCCAGCTGCAGGTAGGCCGCCCCGGGCTCATTTTCTGCCTGTGTCCTTGTCCCACTGGCAAGAGTGTCCTGGAGTGCATACCCAGCTGCAGGCCTAGCCCGGCCACTCAATGCTGCCATACTGCACTTCCTCCACCTTCAAATAAGGAAGAGAAAACCATCTTTATTCTGCAGAAGTAGAAGGAATGATACATTGTAATAATTCTTTTAAAACTTAGAATTTTTTTACTTGTTATTCTCTTACATCAATCTCTATAATATCCCTTCAGATTTTTTCAAACAGCGTTTGTTGAGATAACCTACGATCGTAATAAGCTTATATAAGAAACCGGTGACCTTTAGAGAACGAATGAAAGCAATAAAAAGGGAATTTATTGCGACTCATGGTTTGCCGTCCAAATTCTTGATGGTTTAAAGAAAGGATATGTTTTGACTACCAGGCTTCTTCCAGTTGTGAGGGGTTTATCTTTCACGGTTAAACCCTGCAGACAGCATGCAGTTAATTTGTAAAAACAAACACAAAACAAAGCATACGTTTTAACCCAAACACAGTGTTGGCAACATGGAGGGTGTTTAAGATTGCGTCTGTGGGAACCCAGACAACCTTAGAAGCGTCTTCATTAGGTTATCTTAAGAATGTCATCCCACTGGAGTATGTCTACTTTTTTCTGTCTTTTTTTTTTTTTTTTGTCTTTGTGTCCCATTTGGTAGATGAATCTGTGACCCCTCCTTAGCACCTGCTTCTCTTTCTCTCTCCCCCTCTTCCTTTCACAATTTTCCACTCATTATAACCCACGGGGGATTTAGAATCTGTGTGTCACTTAATGCATTTCCTAATTGCCTACGACTTTATCTTCTTTGATGTTGATTTTCATTGTGAATAGCTGAAAAACTATAGTGCTCAACAAATCATAGGTTGAAATCATGTTTTGTGTATATGAGAGACTGGTCCATGGCTCCTGAAAGGTGAGGCCAAAGAGCTACCTTCTCAGTCAAAACGGGCCCTGTTCAATGGTCCTTTTCCTGGTACAACCAAGGCCTACCCCCACTTGTAAGCTGAGAGAGACCTGAGGTCTGAGGAAGAACTCCTGACCCAGAGCAACTCCAAAGTGATATGTCGTGCATCTCTGGAAGGTAGTGGGGAGAGGCCTATATGTTGGTTATTCCATTGCTCTCAGCATAAGTCTATGTGAGGGGAGGGAAAGTACCGCTGTAAGAGCTATACAGAACAAATCCCTATCAGGCAAATGCTACTGACTCACATCTCTGCAACCCCATGTTCACATCTATCTCATAAGCATGGATCATATCAGGATCTTATTGGCATATGCCCAGAAGAACATATGTGGAGAGTGTAGCTCTGAAAATTTATCTGAAACAAAGTTGTGTTTCTGATAGGAGTCACAGTTCCTCTGGAATCATTATATTTGCTGTAGATTCAAAAGGTAAAAATGAAATTTATTTTTTTTAAAAAATACATGATACAGTAGTAAATTTTAATGCATGTATGTTGTTTTGGACAGATTGATTAGAACAATAAAAATCTTAATACCTTGATTTTACTTGTACTTCTTTGAGGTAATTACATCATATTCATGTGGTTCTAGTTCTGAGAGAAGGCAAGAACTATTGTTATTTTACAGAGGGTAGAAAATTAGGCAGAGATTCTAGTTGAAACTCATATAATTTTCATCAGAGAAGGCCAGATTGGCAGTAAAAATTTGTTTATTTAAGTTCAGACTCTCTGGCACTGCACCGTTATCTCTGTTTCATTGGAGAAATGATATATTCCTTCTTCATATTTAAATAAGAAGTCCATACCATCCTTATTCTTACTTGTTTTAATGTAGTCATATGTTCATGCTATTTTTTTCCCTGTAGGAATCAAAGTTGAAGGGAGATATATCTGAAAACTGGAATAAGAAGGAAATAAATATCATCCTGGCTTTGTGGAAGCAAGTCTGTCTGTGGCTTCCTGTGTCTTTCTCCAGAGTTATCCAGAGGGTTGTGATTTTTGTCTGCTTAGTGTCTCATCAACAAAGAAATATTATTTGCTATATAAAAAGTCAATCTTAGTAGCTATAGCTTTTATTCATTATTTCACTGTGATTTTTGTTGAGTAAAACATTATAGATTGTCATGTTCTTACAGCCATCAGAAGTGGCAGGAAAGCATCACTGATATGTTTTCCAAGGCAATCTATGTTCTTGCAACTTGAAATTCTATCTGTGGTCTTTAAATTGTCTTTTGTCATGTGGCTAAATGCTTAATAAACAATTCAAGTGAAATGCTAATTGTGTCAGATGATCATCTTGTTTTATGTTGTGTCAAATTTATTCTTGTGATACAGACATTCCCTCCAAAGTAGACAAAGATACTGCATCCTTGGGATGTATTTAAACTGCATTCATTTATTCAACAAATGTTCCTTGAGTGTCTCATTTATGTCAGGCACTGTTCTGGATACATTAAAAATACACAAGTTTTACTTGGAGATAACTTCATCTGTGGAAATAAAATGAGAACCAAGAGACAACCAGGAGCAGTGAGATCGAGGTCTCTGCTGCGATGGGAAGGACTCTGTGGCTTTCTGGGCCTTGATTTTCTGGTGTGACCAGTCTGTCCTATAGTATCATGATTGATAAGGAACTGAGGAGTGCTTCTGTAAATACATAAATTCCAACAAGGATGTGGTATCTGCTCAATCTCACTTTAAGTTCGCTGTGTGTATTGGGAACCATTTTGCTTTTAGAAACACGTGTTTTAATCCCAAGATTAGTTCTCGTCCTTTGAAGACCATAAAACTATCAAACGGCACCCTCAGAAAGGGTCCATGGGTTATTACTAAGTATATTTGAATTTCAAAGACCTCCGATATCTATGTGAACATAAGCGAATGATATGATCTGTTGTTCAGAAATCTGGAAATATGTCAGATGGTAAGTAGTTCCCCATCTAATTTGGCCAGGTCATTTGTGCTCTACCCAACAGCAAACAAGACCTCACCTCCACCATGATGTGGGGACCCAGGCTGTGTTTTCAGGGCCCACCAGGGGCCACCCTTGTTAGGACCAGTAGAGCATGGTGCACTCAGCTTCTTGAGTTAAGGCTGGGATGTCTAAATTTTATAAGCTTCTTTTTCAGCCCTTGAGTTAAGATTGCTGCAAGGGCTCCAATGGGAGCCACTAATATCATTGATACCAGCTCTCTGCTTTTGTGGGCTCATCCAACCCCATCCACAAATATACTTTGGAAAGATGGCTGAGACCTGATTGGAGGGAGGAGACTGGATGGCAGGGGCAACGGGGATGCTGTACAGAAGCAGGGTAGGAGGCCAGCAAGTGACTGAAGATGTCCTCCCTCTGAACTGGCTGGATCCTTTTGATGGAGAGTCTAAGACCTCAGCTTAGACAGAGACACAACAGAGAGAAAAGCTTGTCTGATTTCTTGCTCATTTCTAGATAACTCATGGCAGTTCACCCCACCTCTTGACTTCTGAATAAAGTGGTTCTCAGATCCAAATCCCCTGCCCTAGAAACAGGAAGAAGGACTTCCTTTATTACCCATTTATAGAATGGAGGCTACTGGATTCATGAATCATGAATAAAAGCCAATTTGATCTGTAAATTTGTCATAACTTTGTCTTTTGACACAGGGAGAACACCCCTCCCCCCCGCCATCAGCTCTGTTTATGACAGTGATGCCAGAGGTAGCCTCTTCACATTCCTTTATGATTCATTCAGTGTAGCCAATGAAAATTGTGCACTTGGTTCCCCCTGGGCCCACACATCTTACACCTCTGCTGGCAGGCTGGAACACCACCAGCCCGTCAATCCTGGTTCTTTTATCTTCCTTACCACTGAGACAGGGAGCCGAGAGGTTTGGAAGTCAGTGGGAATCCACATACAGGGAATCCCACAGAGAAAGAACTGGATTCAGATTGGGCTGTTTTCCCTCTGAGCTTTGTCCTGTCGGCTTTCTTATCTCCTCAACCCCAAATGCCTCCCACACCCACTGATACACACATCTCCAGAATGTAATTCTCCTTGCTGACAGGGAGGCACATTATTTAGGGCCATATTATCCCCTCTGCTCAAAAACAAATGAGCTCACTGAAGTGTACACTGGCATTTATCCGGGACCATGTTTATAAAATTCATGAATATGGAAATGAGCAGCCATCTCCCAGAATCCCTCCCATCAAGAGAACTGGCACTGCTTGCTGTAGGTGAAAACCTTTCCCTCAAAGGCTCAACAACTTCTACCCAGAAGAAGAAATCACAGCATATTCTTTCTCCTATGTGCACATGCACGTGTGCACAAACACACACACACACACACGCACAGTATATACCACCAGTCTGTGGTCTTGGAAGCAAAGTTTAGTGATTGAATAGCTCAAGCACTAAACTCTTCCATATTATGCTAATGCATTACGATACTATCCTAATATGTCTTATTTGTCAAAGATGGAAAAGTCTTGATATGGCATAAGGGTTTGAATCCCAGTAAGAGTATTAACGGTAACAACAAAAATAACTTAACAACACGGTTTCTGTTGAATGTCTGCCACATGCCAGCGACTGCTTTGATAATTTAATAATTATATCTTATGTTTATTATAATCCTTATAATGGCTTCATGGGTAAGAGAAGTTTATTCCTGTTTTACACCTGATGGGGAGACTTCAGAGAGAGTACAGAAGTGAGTTACACTTTTGCCAACCAGGCCAGAAGATGAAAACCACTGGATTGGGAAATGCTTTTGTAACAAAAGTACAACGTGAAGTGGCTAGTATTACTTGTTGGAAGAAAGTTAACTTTGGCAAGCACAAATATAATTCAGTATTTGAGCAATACTTTTAGGAGGGTAAAGAAGTGGTTTATGTGATTTCTCCAAAATGCCATCACGAAAATTTTGATGATGAGAATCATCAAAAATAGCTAATTACCTGTCTTAGCCTGTCTAGAGCTGCTATAACAAAGTACCATACGCTGGGTGGCTCATAAACAACATACATTTATTTCTCACAGTCCTGGAGGCTGGAAGTCAGAGTGCCAGCATGATTGAATTCTGGTGAGGGCTCTGTTCCAGGTTGCCATCCTTTCTTTGCATCCTTAGGTGGTGGAAAGAGGGCTAATAAGTTCTCTGGGTCTTATTTTATTATTTTATTTTATTTTTTATTTTTTGGAGACAGAGTCTTGCTGTATCCCCCAGGCCGGAGTGCAGTGGTACAATCTCATCTCACTGCAACCTCCATTTTGCAGGTTCAAGTGATTCTCAGGCCTCAGCCTCCCAAGTAGCTGGGATTACAGGTGCCCGCCACCACACCTGGCTAATTTTTGTATTTTTAGTAGAGACAGGGTTTCGCCATGTTGGCCAGGCTGGTCTTTAACTTCTGGCTTCAGGTGATCTGCCTGCCTTGGCCTCCCTAAAGTGTTGGGATTACAGGTGTGAGCCACCATGCCCGGCCTCTGGAGCAGCTTTACAAGGGTACTTGCCAATCTTATCCATGAAGACTCAGCTCTCATGACCTAATCACTTCGCAAAGGCCCCACCCCTTAAAACCATCATATTGGGCTTAGGATTTCAGCATACAAATTTTGGGGGGGGAGGGCATAAATTTTCCATCCCTAACATTACCCAAATAGTATCTATATAGGCCATTTCTAAATACACATGTATTTAGAAATTTCTAAATAGCCGGTGAGCATACAACTGACTTGGCCTTGATATAACTGTTTTCATTTTACTTTCATTCTACATGACATACTTTGGGTAATTATAAAATAATTTAAAAATAGTTGATACATTATGGAATTAGAAAAAAAAGCATCTTCCCTGATTATCTAAGCCATGAAATGAATTAGGAGCTGTTGTTTTCAGCGCAACCTCTTCTATTTTTTAAATTACATTGTCCAATTCCTTTTTATTTTGTGAAGACTTCAAAAACCTTAAAAAGATCTCAAATTGTGCCTTGCGTTTCTTTAAATGTTGTATTTAAACAACATGTGCTGCTAGTTGCTAGTCATTTTCTCTATCCCCTGCACCAGACCCTCTCTTTCTCAGAAAAGGATATTCAGGAGACCCGGCTAGTCAAGGAGATACAAGAGGAAGGTTAGGAGGCTTTCTGGGAAACATTTTCTTTTTCCAGAGAGAAGTGTTCAGAGGGAAAAGGTCCTTTCTCAGTTTGGCTCCATCTTTCTATTTTGAATTGGGTCTTGTGAAGCTACCTAGCCTGGACTGTGAGGGCATCTCTCGACAATGAGGTGACAAGCCTGGGTAGGAAAACCCACAGGTGAGAAGGTGGCTGAATGGAGAGATGGTCCTTCATGACTGAGTCACCAGGCCCACATTTCCCGCCAACCTCCAGACTTCTTGTTCTGTGATGTGACATCATTATTTACTGCGGAGGCCACTGTGAGGGGCTGCTCTGTTAACTTGTGTCTGAAAACCCAATTCACTAAATTAAAATCCAGCACTCTTCTTTTGAAACCTGGCTCCAGAACAAAATGGAAGGTAATGATGGTGTGCTTTTCAAAATTTCATGGAGGTGCCCCTACACTGCAGAGAGCTGTCTAAAGGATGCAAGTGTTGGCTGAGGGGAGATCTGAGCTGCCGGGTTCAGAGAATAGGTGTCCTCCCTCTTATTTTATCTTAAACATGCATGTCATTTTGCATGCTACTCTGTGTGGTTCTTTCAGCCAGGGAACACTGCTGAGCACCCGCTCACGTGCTGAGTGGCATGCAAACTGCAGGGTGCGAGGGTGGGAGGTGACACGTGCTGGGCCCGGATTCAAGCGGGGGCACAGCCTCAGGCCTCGTCCGGCTAGGGTGGCTTGGAGTAACGGCATCTGAACCGCGGACCGAAGCGGATCCGCCCCTCTCCCGCCGCCCGCTCCCCGCCCGCAGCACAGAGGGCGCGCGGCGGGCTGTCCCGGGTGGGCGCAGGGGATCCACGCTCGCTCGCCTGGGCGGACGCAGAGGAGCCGCGCGGTCCTCTCCCAGGTGAGCTGCAGCTCACTCTCCCGTGGACTGCCGGTGAGCCGCGCTCTGCGGGAATCCTTGGACTCTTCATTCCATTTCCATCGCCTCCTTGTATTTTTTGAAAGGACTTTTAAACATGAAGCGTCTGCACAAGGGAACGCAGACAACTGACCACTTGACGTGCACCACCGCGGCCGGACTGCGGGCAGGGCTCCTTCAGCGGAGGGTCTGCAGTAAGCGCTCAGTAAAACACCGCAGGTCGGAGCCGCGGCCCAGGAGGCGGAGCTCGGGCCCATGGAC